ATGACACGCCAGTATCGTAAACAAACACATGATAATACTCCTTTGGGATCATCCCCAACGAATACTGGTGCTGGAAGCCCATGTGTTTTCTATGTGGTTTTCGTGAAAGTTTGTGTGTATTTCGTTATTTAGTGTGTGATAAAAACGGGGTCTCCTGCCAACGTTTGGAGCGCAGCAGTATCAAGATGGACAAAAACGCGGCCTTTGTGGAGAGAATTTACCAAACGGTCAAGGACAGTGCGGTTTGGCAGGCCAATTTTGCGGGAAAGCGAATTGTCATCGTGCTGGACAACGCACCAGCCCATTCACAAAAGGAAAGGCGTGTTGTCCAGCATGATGACATGACGCTACTCCGACTTGGGCCATACTCGCCAATGCCGAATCCCATTGAAAGCTGCTTCAGCGTTTTCAAGTCGCGCATCAAAGGCTACCTAGCGCATCATACGAACGTAATGTTCGAACGAGGTGAGTTCAATACTTACCTCGAGCGCAGGATGGTCCTGCTGGAGGACGCTGCTCGCGAGTCGTTGCCCTGCATCACTCAATAGTTGATGATCCGATAAGTTATTTTTTGTCAAAGAAACGTCGAAAAAGCGCTTCTATTGGAGGACATGGTCTATGGACAGTAATTCATTTCAACTTGAACGTTAAAATTCCATTTTGCGATTTGAAATTGTTTGTTTCATTAAAAATGGGCGTCTTTTATAATGTTTCAGACGTTTGGTATTTCAAATTGACTGAAAAAACTCTCCAACTTGATCGGGCAATGGTGTAGAATGACTCGAACAATAAATACAATAGGTTCATCTAGATGCTTATAAATTAGGTTCATCTTGTATGGTTCGAACAATATATACAATAGTTTCATCTAGATTCTTATATATTTTATGATACTTTAGCACCTCGTTCAAGAACATTGGGTGGGCTTTGTAATACCTATTCATGGTGTCCAAAAATCTGTTCACCATGTCAGACGTGCAAAACATGTCGCTGCCGCTTCCGTCTCCAGTCGAAAGGAAGCCTGGGTCGTAATCTTCAATCGCCAACAGCATGCCGTTCGGAGAGTATCTGTGTTCGACTTAGGTTATCACATAAACAACTTAAACGTACCGTGCAGTATCTGGAGTCTGCTGTGACTTCTAGAAACGCATCGTAATCGCTCGATCCAATTGCCATATGCACAAAGAAATCTTCGCGTTGGGCCACGCCCGTTGGGTGGCAGCGATTTCACTTGAGTCCTTGTCCATGTGTACAAAATATGGTTCCAAGGCAAACGTTTGTCGCAGTAGCTTAAACCACCCTTCGAGATAGGTTATGCGAACAGGCGCTGTGTCTATACACATGTGTAAATAGAGTAACTAGATCAAATCGAACGTGTCCGAAAAGTATAGCGTATCGAGTGTGTAGTACGTACACATGACATAGACACCATAGATGGGATAGAAGCAACGCATTGGATAGGACGATGTCGAAAATATACTGAACGTAAATTAACGCTCTCTCATATAAAAAAATAACTCAAGGGATACCTCGCCACAAAATGGAATGATCAATGATCATTACGAACATTTCAAAATTCGAAGATATTCGTCCGATGCGTTAAGTCAACAACACATTCGCCGACCCGCAAAACGTCCACGCGATACGTGCCACCCTGCATACCATGAAGCAGACTTTTCATAACAACCACGACGTTGTCCACATGGCGCACGGATTCAAAGCTAAGAGTGTGACTGTCCATACCGTCGGCCTTCTTGAGGTGTGACATCCAACATCGCGATCCCACACCATGTCCTCACTCACACCATCGCCAACAACGACATCGAAGTTGACCACTGCTACCACCATGACCCCGTCTCCACCTGTCACATCCAAGACCGCGATCCCACGCAATGACCTCATCCCATTGCCAACAACGATATCAAGGACAGCCCCTGCTACCACCATTACCCACCTCCGCATGTCACATCGAACAACACGCAGCATGCTTTCTCGAGTCAAGCGGTCACAGTCACCTCCGCTTCCCCCAGCAACATCTCATGGTCAAATCAAGAGAGCCGTCGCTACACCCGCACCCCATTCCCAAGAAGTACATCGAAGGTCCAACATGGACATCGACGACGACCAGAGCTACCATCTAGACCCCGCCTTCACCTTCATAACCACAACCTCATCCCATCCCTAACATCGACATCGGTGATGACGGCCACTGCTACCAACATAACCGTGTCTCCACCTGTCTTCCAACCACCATGACCACGCCAACATCGCGACCTCATCCCATACCCAACAACGATGTCGGTGACGGTCACTGACACGCCTTCACCTGTCTCATCCATCACCACGATCAAACTCCATGACCTCACCCCATGTGGCAATTGTTGCCGGCATTTCCAGGTTGGGAGTACATTCGTAAAGAAAAAAGAACCATACTTGGTGCGACTCAAACCCAGAACCCCTTGAACACTACCGTGTGTCCAAACCTCACTGCTACCGGTGTCATACAAGACGGGGCTACATACCAATCCACAAGCAACTATTGCTCCGTTTTCAGCCTTATCGGGGATTATACGTCCCTATTTATTTTTCGCCATGACTGTCCCCAGCATGCTCCAGTCATGTCGGTGAAGGGCTTGTGCGCGTACCGTCTTGCGTAATACGAGTCGGACAATTATACGAGTCAGACATCTCTAACATTTGATAATATTTGGCCACTCGCAGAAAACGTATTTGCACGGGTTTCCTTTGCATCCAATAAGTCTCAAAACAAGTAGGTGGCTGTTTTACTGTATACCAGTAATATTTACAATTGGACCATGTCACATCGTCAAATAGTGTGTAAATTGGTATTTGCAGCATGCAAAAAATACCGCCATCTATTTGATCAGTTCCAAGAGCTTCAGTCAAAACATATTTGCTTCGTAAAAGATCGAGTTACTGATCATAAACTGAGACACTGATAACAACCAAACTGTGCGACAAATTCAACTTTAATGTCAAAATACACGAGTCAAAACTTCTACACCTATGGAAAACGCATGATACGGAAGGCGTCCATTGCAGCTCGATCTTGACGGTTCATACGGTAGCGTCGTTGAGCTTCTGCCTTCTTCCGCTTCTTTTCGCTGGCCATCCTTTGGTAGCGAGCCATGACGAGGCCATAAAATGCCTCGTCTTCACGGCGTAATGGCATGAGGGACAGATGGAAATATGTCAAAGCAAACGTCATTCGTGGGATAGCCGTGTAGTTCTTCTCAGACCACGTAAACGTGGAGTAAGACACCTGCCACAGCGAGCAAACCCTGCCGAAGAAGTTCTCCACAATCACGCGATCAGACGAGATTGCGTGATTGCGCTCCAGGTCACACTGGCGTCCAGCGAGCCATTTACCGGCCGACGCTTCGGATGGATGCCACGCAAGGAGTGCTGGATGCCAATATACCCCATATCGACAAGGCAGGCCCACGATCCACGGAATTGGTTTGACAGTTCGCCATGGTAAGGCGGCATCGCTCGGCGACTTGGCCAAGTTGGCTTCGTGGTCCTTGACCCGGGAATGCATGATGGTCAGGTCGTGTACGGATCCAGGGTGGGAGGCAGACATAGCCACGCACCGGCCGTCAGGCGAAACGGCCGCCTCAATCTTGTAGCCGTAGAAGCTGTGCTTCCCGCTGTATTATTGCTTTTGTTCCGAGAAGCTACCGGTCGGCCACAGCAAAGGCTGGAACTTCACGTCGACAGCGTAAAGGGCATAGGGGATATTGTCAAAGCGGCGCCCAAACTGGGTCAAATCATGGATGGAAGCGTGATGCATTGGATTACGAGAACTGGTTCGATGACCTAGGCACACATTGATCGATTAGTTGGCATGTGTAGAATCGACATGAAACCGCACCGCAAGAACACGCATAATGAGCTTTTGTAATGTTGGAGCCTTGAACCCAAAGTCCACAGCATGTTTCTCCCAGGTGCAGTAATGCTTTAGCACCGTGAGTGCCATGAACAGTGCTTCCTTGGGGCTGGTGGCACAACGGTGGCCACGACCCTCCATCCATGCATTATTTATGGCATCGTCCACGAAGGACCACAAGAACTCGAACTCCGAGACGGTAAAGTTGGTCAAGGCGCGAATGCCATCAGTGCCCAAGTCAGTTGTGAAGCGTTCCATAATTGGGTTGGCGGCGACCTCTTCGAGGTTAACCTCATCGTTTGAGCCGTATTCGACGTCAAGGTAGGACCGATCCCGGATGGACTGGTCTTGTAGGCGGTTTAGGACAGCGTTAGCGTTGATCGGCATGGCAGGTTAATGGTGAATTGAATTCTGAAGTGACTGACAAGAAAGTGAAGAGGACGTTAATGGAGGGAATTGGGTTACATGGCGGCAAAGATAGAGTTTTATGGTTAGTTCAACTTCAATGTGTTTAAACAGCATTGCCAAACTTAATCTCCTTAAGTAGTACATTTTGGGCAAAACTTACAGCTTACCCACATTCGTCCAGCCTCTACTTAAAATGAATTGATTTGAGGCAATTCCGTGGTTTTATTCATTTTGCTCAAGTACGCGTTTTATGAACCACTTGCACTACTGATAGATAGTCTTCCAAAGGTTTATTGAGACGGCAACGCACTTCAATGAAGCTTTCAATCGTTGCATCACTGGAGTCTTGGGGTGGTCAGCTCAACGACGAGTTGACAAATGGATCGTACTTCACACTCGCGATGTCGAAGGAGGCAAGTCCAAGCGTTTCCTAGCACAAACAAGTGCGAGATTGAGGTATATAATTATGGTCAACGCAAATCGTCATGACAATATTAGACGAATCAGTAACAACTTGAATTCTTCTACATTTCACTCAAAACATTTGTTATCATACTTCAAGTCAGCCATCAAGTCTTTGATCAGGAACTCGATCTTTCATCATGCGATGTGCAGCATAGGAAATATCATGGCACAAAAACATTTCCAATTGGCTGCTGAGCAAGTGGATATATAGTGTTCCAAAGGTTTAATATATACTCCACAAATAAATGTAAGATTGATGTATAGAGGTGCTTTTGAGAGGTGCTCGACTGTCATGACCAACCTTTCGTGAATCGACGTCATAATAAAGTACTAACGTTAGTACTGGACTAAGAAGTCCACTAACAGTAAGCAGGAAAATAAACTACCGGTAGTTACTAAGAGTGCAAGGCTACAATGGTATTTGTGAATTGTTCGGATGGAGTGCCAACGGAATCGACGAAACACGATTAATTGACGACGCGACTGAGTTAGAGAAGACATACATTATCGGACTAAGCTATGGTGCTAACTTGATATCCCAGCTAAACGTGCCCACGTTCTTGCTAAGTTACATGTACTGATGTATTTGTCACATCGACCCCATTCGAGATCGTGCTCTTGCAGGATTAGAAATGCTCTTCGTACATAAGTAGATCTCACAACTATTCACACCAAGTTACAAGTGTGTATACATACATAAACCAGAACGAAGTGCATCACTGTGGATGATATACGTGTACCGGTATACTGAAGTGAGATATGTTGGTAAACGTTACATGTGGTGAGCGCCTTTCGACAATTTTGCCGCTAGTCCCCGTGACGGTGTTCACCCACACCCTTTCCTTCGTCCACCCGACGTAGCTTCATTTCTGGCGCGCGTGATCGCTCAAGTTGTGCACGTCGAATGTCCATGGTGGCCGACGTAACGCGAACGTTGACCAATAAGTGATAAACATAATAGACTTCGTGATGTATAATCATCATCATGTCTGTATCTTTCTTTTTATCTTTATAATCCAAGCAAAAGTACATTGACTTTTGTAAACCTGTATAATTTGGTTTTCGTTTAAAATCCATACTTTCTGAAGTTGGACTTGAAATAACCTGATATTGAAAATTGTATGTCTGGATAGAAAAGGAAAATTCACAGTCCCTGAGGGCATCGAGGGAACTTCTACTCGTATCTTGCGATTGGCTGGGTCAATTTCCTCGATTTTTGAAGTCTCCGATGAGTCTTAGCTTGCATTTTAACAGACAGCGACGTTTACACTCCGGAACGACATATCCCTCACAATACGATGTAATTCGAGTTGAAATTACCTCAAAAATCGTCATTGAAATATAATTACTTGTGAAACGCAATATCAATTGTTGAAAGGAAGTTTCGATTTGTTTTTATATTTTCGAGGTCATGTGAACCTCTATATATTAATGCGATGCATGTATCAAAATAACTGTTCAAAATGCACCAAATTTCACTCTTTTTGGGCTATCTTCCTCATTTCTTCTCCAATTTGCGTCAAATAAAGCGCAAAATGACGGCTGTGATTGGGCCAATCCATTCCCACCAATTTCAGGACGCCAAAACAAAAATTGACAGACTTATGGCGGCAAAACCAAACTTTCCGTGTCGGTCATGGACGGAGGAGTCATTGCACGCATGAAGAAGTTCGTCAAGATGCGCCGTAAGCGCAGCTTGACCTACGATGAAAAAAGCTGGACATTCTTTGGCTTCAAGCGTCCCTTCGGGAGAAAGGTTGCTCCGACGTCAGCGGTGTTGTCGCTGGATTGCTTGGGCATGGTGCCCGCACTGTGAAGGCCGTCATGGCCGAGTTCTTGGCCACCGGAGACGTGTCCGTCTCGCTGCCGCCGTCCAACACGACGAATCACCAGTCCAGGGTCCCCAACACCCGAGCTGTGCGCGCTTTAGTCAAGCGCTTTATCCGTGACCGCTGCGTAACACGTACAAGGACTGTGGCCAAGGACGTCCTCGCCTTGCTTCAAGACAACCAATCTGTGACAGTGGATGAAGAACATCCCAAGGACTACGCAGCGTGCTTGCGAGCTGTCCAGGTATTCCTCGCCAAACAAGGGTATGCTCGTGGGTCGAACGCGAAGCAGACGTACCGTGTCTCCAAGGCACATGAACAAGCCCGCGACGCATACGTTGAGATGATGGTGCCCACTGTCACGAGCGCACCGCGCAGACCGGTCGTCTACCTGGATGAAAGCTTCATCCATCACCATTACACCAGTCATGCTGACAGCTTGTACGATCCAACTGACCAGGCTACCAAGCCCAAGCACAAGGGCAGACGGTACTGCTTTGTCGCGGCGATCCTGGACGACGGCTCCGACACGGCTCACCTCTTGGGACTGGACATCTTCGTAGGCGGTAAGAAGAATGGTAAAGTCGTCAACGACTACCATTCGATGTTTAACCATGACTACTTTGTCGACTGGTTTGGGAAGTTGATCGATGAGGTTGAGGAGCTGGGATGGTCGTCCGCCGTGTTCGTTATGGACAACGCGAAGTACCACAAGGGGAAGCCCAAGACAACCCCAAAGGGAACGTGGCGCAAGGAAGCCCTCTACCAAGCGTGCGTTGGCCTGAACATCACCGACGTCTCACCCACCGATCTCAAGACGACCATTTGGAAGCGTTTGAAGAAGCATTTGGACGAGCACGTGCTTCCTGTGGTCTGCGAGATGGCCAAAGTCCGTGGACATCATGTCGTCTACTCAGCACCAGGATTTTCGGAGTTGCAACCAATCGAAATGGTTTGGGCAAAC